ACACGCCGAGCCACCACGGTCGACGAGATCTGTCTTCCGAGAAGCAGCTGCTCAAGTGCGCAGTGTTGTCGAGACTTTTGACCCCGCTCCGGAGTGGCTTCCCGTTCTTGACGCTTGCGTGTGTTTGCCTGACTTCTGATGAAGTATGTTCTGTGTACTTTACTGGTGATAATGTCATTCAATAAAGAAAAAAAAGAAGGCAACAAAGAAAAAAAAAGCCTGTTTAGCTCAGTGGTAGAATACTGGGCTGGCACCCAGCGGACCCGGGTTCGAGCCCCACTGTGCCATTGATGCTAGGGCATGCCTGCCTAAGGCAAGTTTAATTACAAGTTACCAGCACCGGCGTAACTCAGTCGTAGAATATTCGGCTGGCACCCAGCCTACTCGGCCTCACTGTGTCACTGGTGCAAGTTTTTTTTTTTTTTTTTTTACTCTATTTTCGCGCGATGCGGTTACGGACGCCGGCGGCGGCGGACAACAACTGCGCGTGACCGCAAAAGTGATCTCATAACAGCTTTCGCTGTAAAACTTGTTGCTAGCTGATATGAGTTGGTTCCCACTTCAGGGTAAACTGGTGTACGCAAATAAAGATGGGGACTCGGAAAGAACCAGAAGTGACGGATGCTTTCAAATATACGGAAAGAAAAGAATAACACGAAGGAACACTTAGCCGAGTGCGAACGCACATTGGATTCGGGTACAACACCAGAACCGCCCCACAGCCGCCCATCACCATCGGTTTTACGTGACGTGAGCGCTCATTTATTGCTCGCAATATTCTCCGTCGCTCGGGTGATTTGCTATCGGCCCCGTGCATGCTGTCATTGCACGTTGTGTGATGAGTAAACCATCTCTTTCAAGCATGAATGCAGCAGCCACGAAGGCGCGTAAAAAAAGTTACTCTGCATGCGGAAAAGAGCGACAACAGGAATGCAGAAGCTGTAATATAATAATATCTGACCATTAACTTCCCTGAACCACGTTACTATTCTGAGAGACGCCGTAGTGGAGGTCTCGGAAAATTTCAACCACCTGACTTTCGTGCGCCTAAATTTAAGCACACGGGCCTCGAACATTTTTGCCTCCATCGAAAATGCGGCCGCCGCAGCCAGGATTTGACCCCGCAACCTTGTAGTTATTAAATGAGTGCTATAACCACTAGACCACCGCGGCGTCCCGTGAATTCGACGTGCCGGAGACCTGCGATCGTGGCGGGTGAAAGCTGAAAAAGCCCGACGTTCAAGCGCAACGCCAACACGGTGCTCAAGCAGCAGCATTTGTAGATCTCGAAGCGGGTGTAGGCATAATTTCTTTGCGGAGGATGAAGAGAGGGAGCACCACCGAAGGCACGGTATTTTTCTTACACCGTGTATGAAGTGGAGGTTTGCGGGCAGGAAGAGTGTCATTTTACGCACAGTATGTCACAGCAATCACGAATTCAGGGGGAGGGGGGGGGGGGGGCGAGCCCGCTGTGCCACTCCCTTGCTATGCTTCTGCTCCCTTGCTATGATCTGCGCATGTTTGAAAACGTCATCTTCTCATGGGAAAGCATTTGTAGGCGAGGCTTACGCCACCCTTATAGAAATTGGCAACGCGCTTTGCTTCAGCTATTTCTTACATAACGCGCGATTACGGTAACGCATTTCAACTTCGGGGAGTGGTATTAGTACTGTAATATATATAATAAAGTACACGTGTTAAACCACAATATAATCATGAAGCATATGGCAGTGTAGGGCGGCCGAAATTTCGACCACATGGTGTTTTCTGCCCATCAGGTAGTCCACCTGGTGGTGCTGACGTCGACGTGGAGCGTCACTTAATGGACATTTTACAATAATCTGCAAGGCGGCCTTCCTGTAAGGTTTTTTTTTTTTTTTTCAACCAAAAACTCGCGTTCACAGACCGGTTTTCTCGCTCTTTGTGCTTTTGCCTCTCCGAATTCAGTGAAGGCACGCGAGTACAACAAAATGCCTTTTTCCCCAACGACTACTATCATGGTGTTGTCCCGCTTCGTACGTAGACGGCATGGTAGACGGCATAGAACCCGTCGTTCGCGAAAAAAAGAGGAAAATCAAAAACACAATGAGCTAAAAAAGCAGTCTGTGAACCAGAGTATTTGGTTGGAAAACAAACTTTACAGGAAAGCCGCTTTGCAGATGATTGCAAACTTTCCACTGTTCTTTTAACAACATTTATCGACAAAGATGGGGCTTCTAGGCACGGAAAAAGAATGACGTAAAATGCCGAGTTAAGAAGTTCGGCGTAGTTCTGTGCTCGTTCGCGTCATCACGTTTTGTGCTTGTCTGTTTTTAGCTCTGCAAAAATGTAAAGGATGTACCACAACGCCAAACTCGCCCCTTTCCAAGAAGCAGCCGAAGGTCGATGAGCAACCAATTCGTTTCCCAGAACATGAAAGCTACGTGTCGTGCCAAGGTTTGTAAGGGCACAGCACCGCCATCCACTGTTAGTGATCTCGTAGTTGGCTAATTTATTTCGATAGGTGCAGTTTCATGTGCTCGCTCTCTCTCTCTTCCTTTAGTACATGTTTGATGTGACTAGAATAATGGCGTGGCTGAAGATCGTAGCGAACTGCTTGAAAGTTTGATATTCTGTGGGACTACTCAGAACGAACCCGACTTGCACTCTGTACATAAAAAAAGCAAATGACCGCTGGCATAGAAAGTACCTGCTCCTTCCGGATAATACGTTATTTCTCCTTCCGAAATACGCTCTTTCCCTAGAGGAACCCGGCAATGCTGTTTACGAGATCTGATTCTAGCGAGTAGAAGCAGTGAAACCGGACTTGCTCATGCATATTTTCCTCTTTAGTTGTGAGCAGGGGGTCCCGGCTGATTATGCAAGCGCCCAGGAAGCCTTCTTTGAAAACGCGCCAAAAAGCGCATTGACTTACTGTCTTTATTGCTTTACTGTCTGCTGTTTTAACTAGGTCAGTTCACGTGGCGTCGTTTAGGTCTCATTAAACTTTTTTTACCATATAAAGGTAACTATGCATTCAGTTCTTTGTTGGAGAGATTCTCGATCCCTTCAGGTAGCAAGTTCACGAAATAACCTAAGAGGATGCTAAACAGGAACAATGAAGTGACAAAGTGCACTCTGAGAACTACAAAGCCAATTGTTTCACTATTATAAGCTCATTATTAACGGAGAAAATTAACGCTGAAGTTTAATTTTTAAATTCCACGCCGAAATATTCACATGTATAGCGTAAAAAATTTCAAAATGTATTGGCAGTATTTCAATGGGATTGAACCGATGAAAACTTGAAACTTTGTACGATAAGTCTTAGGCACCCACAAATTACAATTTACTCCATTTTTATCGTTAGGACCAAGTACAAGCCATCAAAATTTCTTACGTCATGGTCCTTGGTGCGGGTATCTAAAAGTGAAGTCAGCAACCGCGTTTTTTTTTTTTTTTTTTTCGCGCGTTTCGTCATTTACAAACCGTCGGGTCGCGGTAAGAGTGGTGTTTCGGGGATTGCGAAAGTGTACTTAACTAGTACTCGTAAAATGGTTTTGCTCTTTGGTGTCCCTTTCAATCAGTAATGTAGGTTAGAAACTAAACTGAAACTTGATAGAGTGGCACGTTTTTGTGCGGCGTCGCTAAGGGCGCAGGCGGTGAAGGCGAGCTATGCATGTTGGCAGAACGAAAGTGGCGGAGGCTTCAACCGATTCGCGGTCATGCCGTATCATGGAAACATGTGACGACATAGAGATCACGAACTATCATCAAACGTTTATTTCCTTGTGCACGCAACCTGAGTACACCGCACAGGTCCCACCAGGATTGTACATCAAGGCACCTGTCACCTGTGCGCTGTATAAAAGTTGTGTGGTCGAAGAAATGAACTGTCATTGTTAGTTGGCGCTCTGTCATTGACTCTTCTGGTGCCAGTCATGTATTAATGACAGTTAGTATCATGAACTAGCATGTCCAATAGTCAGCCAGTTGGATACGTTACCGCTTCGTACGTTTTTCGGCCTAATATTGTTTCTTTCCCTTAACATCATTTTTTTCTGGTACCTTCGTTTTCTCTATTTCTGTCTACTTTCCATTTTTTCTCTCTCTCTTTCCTGTGTTCGTCTTTGCTGACACACTCGAGGTTATACTCGGTAGCCCTGTCGCACCTGGATTTGTGAGACGATGCAGAAGTTGGAGGAAGCCGGTGAAGTAAGCTAAGTTTGACTTGTCGGATTCTTTTACTCTGTGTCCGTGTCTGCATGCCTTGCATTCCTCTGTGTTGGGAGACCACGTCTCCAGTGAGCGCTCAGATGTCTCACCTGTTTTTTTTTTTTTTTTTTTTTTCAAAAGTCGATTCGAACGTTCTGCCAAAAACAACCTTTTTTTCTACAATACTCCCTTCTAGACAATTTTTTTTTTCTCTCTTTACTACGGGCGCTTGGAATTTCCATCGCACTCGGAACGAATGAGGCGGCCATTCACGCGACTCTACGAACCCCGCCATTTTTCTACCGCCCTCACTTCTTACCCTCCTTAGCCCCGGCTAGTTTGCAGTAGCCCATTCATCGTTGCCAAACGTGTCAACAGCCAGAGGCACAGCAACGGGTAGTCAATCTGGGATGTCGAAATGTTAGTTCATGCACGATAACAGCATACCGGCATCCCTCACTCTCTCTCAAACTGGGAGGGAGAATGAGGTGCGGGGAATTCCCGTGTTTCTCGTCTCCACACCTCTCCGAAGCGTGCTTTTTGGTTTGGCGTTCGAGTCCACAACGAATGGCTCGCCTTTGTACATTTTGCCGTTCGCAACAATCCTGCGTGACCTCGCAAACCAAAGCCTTGCTCTATCCTGCGCTGCAAGAATGCGAGTCTGATCCTCCCTTACGTCCCCCACATAGAAATCATAGACGACCAGAGGAACTGGTCTGGCCAGGAAGTAACAACAGGAGCTGCGGCGACCGTTGAAGGGCATTTTGGCCGACCTCAGTATCACGTAGAGCACGTCGCCCGCCATCATGCACCTCCTAGCTCTGGCGATCCTCATCGGCCTGGTACCCCAGCTGGCTGTCGTCGATGGCAAGTGTCCATATTTTGTATCCTAATCAAACACGTCAAACAGCCTCTCTCGAACGCACATTAAGTGAAGAGCTTTTATGTGCGTTTGTGCATCGTCCGCCACGTTGGTGTAGTGGGTAAGGTGTTCAGCTGTGTACCCGTAGGTCGCGGGTTCGAGCCCGGTCGCGGCGATTGCATTACGGTGGAAAAAGAAGTGATAGAGGCTCGTAAACTGTGCAATGTCGGCGGCGTTAAAGAACATATCGCGGTTTGGGAACGTTAAACGCCAGATATTTCAGTGTTTTCTTATCGTGCGGATGTCGATTTGAGCCAACTCATTCTTTTTTTTCACGGATTGTCGATAAATACGTTCCATACTCTCCTGGATAAATACACTTTCGAGGAGAGGTTCTCGAATTGATTCACTTTACTACGAAGTGAGATCCTATCACCCACACCCACAATCATAAAAAAATGAGCCTGTTCAGAAAACATGCGATACAGTCCCGACCGGTGACGTAGCTACAACGGAGTTGCTAAGCGGCCGTGGCCGAACTCGATCGAACTCCAGATAAACCTTGTAGCCCGATGAAGTTCTCCGTGTAACAACCTTGTGCACAGGTGACCCCATTTCATTGAACCTTCCAGATTAGACTGCACTGACAGGCAGCCAGCATGCATATGTATCATCGGTGCCAAAAGAGTTCCAAATAGCGGTAAGCACTAGGAATGATATTGGGTGCTCCCTACAGTCATCGCCATGCAAATAAGCAGTGCTGATAGAAAAATAATAAAATCAATGCTGCGTGTGCCAGTGGGGATGACTGAGCCAGTCGCCATGAAGCACCACTCTGATGCACATAGTGTTCTCGGATTGATAGTCGAAATCGAATGTCGGTAGTCCAATTATGTGCAACTACTTGTGATAACAGTGTCGTGTCGTCACAAGTACAAACTGATGTAAATGCCATATGCAAAATTTTGTGAAATCCATGAAAAATTAAAGCGTTGAGTGCCGCCAACGTCAGTAAATATACAGTAATACCCCATCAACGTATAATCCTTCCGTACGATTGCTTTCCTCTAGTGCCATGAACCTGTGCCGTGTTTTGAAATGTTACCATGTGACATGACATGCCGCTCTTCACCCTTGAAAAGCTATGATGATGCCTTCAATATCCGTGAATATATACGCCCGATTATTTGACTCTGCAAACCCTTAGAAGCCTCACGACGCAAGTCACTGACGGCAGTCTTTTTTTTTTCTCTGCCATCTCAGGTTACGTGCGTTTCTCCGTCGCCCCTGATGTGTCCAACGAAATCCACCCGACGAGCCGTTCCAATCCCATCGCCATGCTGCCCGTGGTCCTGGCGCTGGCCACTCCGGCCATTGTCGTGGCTCTCGGGACGCTGAGGCCCGTACTCCTCGCCCTGGGGCTCATCTACATCATGCTGTTCGGGCTCACTCAGATGCCCGTCGTTGGAGATCTGATGCAAACCGCGTTTCGCGTCATGGGTTCTGCCCTGACCGACTCCGTGCCTCCCAACGTGGGCCGAGAATTGCTTCGCGTCGTGGGCCTGGACAGCGAGGCCTGCCGCACCCGCGCCGTCTGCGAGATCACCGAGGACGCGGTTCGCAAGTACCCGGCGGCCTCCGCCATGCTGTGGTCCCTGACGGGCGCCTTCCAGGCGCATAGCAGCGCCGAGAGCATCCTGAAGGGACTGCTTGGCGGACTCTCCGGCCTAGGCTGCGAGTCCCTCTACTCGACGTGCAGCAAGTCTCCGCTCGAGAAGATCCTCAAATCTAGGAAGTAGTTTTCGTCGTGCGATGTTGTCAGTCGCTCATCAACGGCGTTTCCTCACACCTACGTCATCGCTCGGTAGTTTTTTTTTCCTCTCGAATCTAAGTCATAGATTTTTTTTGTATTAGACGTAGTGGTAAATAATGCATTTTTCAATAAACTAACTTATTTCTCACTGCGTGTGTGTTATATGCTTCAATACGCTGGGTTGAATGATTTTTCAACCTTGTTCCTAGTGCCCCACCGTCAGTTGCTTCTCGCTGACAGTACACCAGCATTACTTATAGTATTTTTTTTCTTCAAGGTGACCTTGCGCGAACAGGGTATTCATCTTAGCTGCAACAAAGCTGCCTCGATAAGACTGAGCGGTCAAACAATTCCTTCATCCATGACTTGCACACACATCTTGACCGGAACATCCAAACTGACGCTATATTTCTTGACTTTGAAAAGGCTTTTGATAAAATTCCTGACCACGGCCTTATGACCACACTTTATTTGCTTAATTTCGACCCATTCGTCTTGTCCTCGATCAATAACTTTCTCACTGACAGAAAACAGTTCGTCGTCACAAATACAGCTAGGTCTCGAATCTCTCCCATCCTCTCCGGTGTCCCCCAGGAAACAGAACTTGGCCCCCTGCTTTTCCTGATTTACATAAACGACCTTCCACTCTGTATTACTAACAACATAAGATTATTCGCCGACGATCGCGTTATTTACGCAACAATTGCTAGTCATGAAGATCAAATAGCTTTACAAGCAGACCTAACAGCCATTCAAAAGTGGTGCCACAAGTGGCAGATGAATTTAAACATTTCAAAATGTAGATCAGTGTCTTTTCACAAACGTACTAATCCGTTAAAGTACAACTACACTCTACATGACAGTTTTCTACAACCGATTAGCCCGTGTAAATACCTTGGAATACATATATCAAGTGACCTATCATGGACCCTCCACATCAATCACGTCATTTCAACAGCTAGTAGATCTTTAGGTTATATACAAAGAACCCTGAAGTTTGCTCCCAGCCACTTAATGTTTTGTATTAGCTTTAACCACAATAATACACCCCATATTGGAGTATTCCGCAGCAATTTGGGACCCACACCAGCATTATCTCATCCAAAACCTAGAAGCCATCCATACCCGCACTGCCAAATTCGCTTTTTCTGATTACTGGTCGTTCACCAGTGCAACAGACTTAAAGAAACGTGCCGCATTCATTCCCCTTAGCCAACGCCGAAAAACTGCGCGGCTCATATTATTCCACAAATTTTATCACCCATCCCCATCCAGCATTTACGTCACCCAATGCCCCTATTTCTCCGCTCGTTGTTGCAACGCTATGCAAGTACATTACCCTCGTCCCAAAACTACCACATTTGCCGAATCTTTCTTCATTCGGACACCTAAGGGATGGAACGCCCTACCGGCTATTGTTAGCATTCAGGATGCAGAAGCCTTTAAAAATTCCCCGTCAACCATCACTGAACTGTAATAATTTTTGTTCTGTGACTTACCATGCTGATTCTTTTGTAATGGTTTCTAGTGTCATCTTCCTAGTATGGCGTGTATGTATATTTTGTGTACTTGACAATGTTTTCTACCTTATAAGTGGTATCTTTTGTCGCTGCAAAATTTTTTATTTGGAGTCCACAAACAAATGTACCTGTTACCCCCCCCCCCCCCTCTTCTATTTTTTGTTTTGTTTGTTTGTGCACCGCTTCAGCTATGTCCTAAAATTTGTTTTTTGTTTTTTGTTGCAAATCCAACTTTGCCTTTCCCCATTTTTGTATGCCCATCCCTCATGTAATAACCCTTCTGTTAGGGACCCTTGAGGACAATAAAATAAATAAATAAATAAATTAGCTCTATCGGCCACAATTAAGCGGAAGCAATGCGACTGAAACTCCCGTGCACTAATAATTCAGTCACCGCTAGTAAAAACTGCGGTTGTTAAAGTTCATTCGGAGCCTTCAAGTATGCGGCGTGCCTCGCAATCACCGCCACATGTCATCGTATAGAAGCCACCTCCGGATGGCAGTAGGAAATAATGTTTGCGCACTGGTTCCGCAATTGACGTGGATTCCTGACCGTCTTTCGTTTCGCCATTTGCATTAATCGGGCAGCTTCGCTAACTATTTTCGGCAATCGCTAACACCACTTTCGAGCAAACTGAGAGTTCACGTGCTTGCCGGAGCAAAGCAGCTAACATTCATTTGCAAACAATACATATGCATGTCAGCGTGGTGGCCCATGTACGATGTCATGTGGCAATACACCTCCGGTTTTTCGGCTTTGTCCCCAACTTCTGACGGCCTCATTTGAGTGCGCATAGCAGAGGAAAAAAGTAGGGTGATTCCACGAGAAATCGACACGGGTCCAAAAGTTGATAATTTAGATTTCATTGAGTATTTTATATTTCGTGCACCTCTCAACAGGTAGCCCGAAAGTCAACTTCGTTTTATGATTAACGGCATAACTTACGAGAAAAAAATATATCAAACTTCACAAACACGGAGGCACCAATTTCGTCACCTGTCATTTTTGAAAATTACAGATGCTATAAAAAGACAAATATTTTTATTTCAAGGAAGATATTTGTTACATGAAAAGCATCTCTAATAAAGAATGAATTCATACGGTTTCAAGTTTGTAGACCTTAAGACCTTAAGGCGGAAATGTTGTAGGCCCGTGTGCTCAGATTTGGGTGCACGTTAAAGAACCCCAGGTGGTCAAAATTTCCTGAGCCCTCCACTACGGCGTCTCTCATAATCATATCGTGGATTTGGGACGTCAAACCCTACAAATCAATCAATCAGACCTCAAGAAATTAGATTTTAAAAATGTCTAATTTTGAGACAGTTTAAAATAAGTTACGTATTCCTCGTTTTTTTTTCTCCGAAAGTAATGCAAGCAGCGTTTTCAAACTTGACACGTTTTAAGAATATAGTGTGTTCATTAGGTACATAAATTATTGCTCCCGTAGGACAAATGTAAATTTTTATATATTGCCTCACAATTTTCATATTTCAAAAGTATACTCCACTGAAATTTGAATAATAAAAACACCCCATCTTTGATTTTTCTTAAAAAGTCGTAAATAGACAACTGAAGGCCATAATACAGTAATATAGAAAAACATGTTGCATTATTTTGTTTTTAGCGATAATATTAGTGGTACAAATCAGAGCTTTTCGAGAATGCGCTGATATGTTGAGAAATCTAGAAATCGGCGCAAGCCATAAGAAAGTAAAAGCCGAATTCTCCGCCTCTCATTTCCCATTAGCAGCCATTGGCATGTACATTGAGCACTATCTGACTGAAAAAATTTGCTACGTCATACTCGCTGGGCGTAACCTCCTTGGTTTTCGAAAGGTTTAGCGAGCATTCGGCCGCAGTGCCATGAATACAGTGAACTAGTATACACCATGAACTCGAGGTGGTTAAAGGTGGGAAGTGGACCCGAAGCGCAAGCCGTAAGAAAGTGTGCGTGTGCCACCTCTCGTTTAGTCCTTGAAATGTCCGTTGGATGGCGGTGCTTCTATATGGGGAATACATGATGAAAATATGCGAGATGGTGGTACTTGGAGTGTTGAATAGATGGACGAACGTACACATAGACAGATGCATGGATGGACGCATGAACGGACGCAGGGGCGGCTGCATGGACGAACGCAGGGACAGACGCACGGACGGGCTGATGGACGCAGGGACGGTCACACAGACGGACGCATGGACGGATGGAAGCAAGAACGAATGGACGGACGAATTCTTCGCCCCACTCTCCATCATTCACTCCGTGGATATGCTGTCATTTTTTTTTCTTTCCTCTTGAGGTCCACTTTGCTTGCTCTGCAGTAGCCTTGTGGTAGTGATTTAGAAAAAAAAAATATGCGTTATTTCGGCAACCCTTGACGGAGAACGGCGCAGCGCCTCGGTTTCCTGGGACGCGCGTTCAACAGCGTTTCTCGGCAGCGGTGGTCGTGAAGGCGAACGAACGGCGACCCCTCTTTTCTTACTCCGCGGAACAACCTGTTGCTGGCCGAGTCGGTACTTGCTAAAAACAGGCGTATTCTTCAGCTCTCCCAACAATGCTACGGCGTTGTGCCTCCTCTCTCCAAACCATTGCCATGGCGGCTGCTCCAGCAGCTGTTCCTTGGGCCCTGCACGCCTAAATTCCTAACCCTTCCTCTTTTGATTAAAGAATCACCCCCCCCCCCCCCCCTCCTTAACACTGTTCCCACAGTTGTAGGGGACAAGTGAGTTGAAGTCCGAGGGAGGAGGTGGAGCGAAAAAAAGAGAAGTCTAACTGTAATGATTGGAATTCCTTGCCTGCCTTGTTGACAAGCATCACTCACTCCATTCGTTTTAAAGATATCCTTAAAACACTCGCTACATAAATATTAATTGTTTATTTCATACTGCCAGCTTGTATTACAAACCATAGGCAGGAGTGGAATGTACGAAAAATTTCATTTGAATAATACCTGAACATAATAAAAGCAAAGCTGTGAAGTCTTACTAATAACAGTGTTCAACAATCTTGACACTATGCAAAAACACAGAAGGCAATGACACCCAGAAAAATGCACGAGAATGCGCATGAAAAATTTTCGCAAAAGAATACAAATATCACAACAAGATATTGAACGTTTAAGGCAAATAAAAATTACGACAAAAAAAAAGGTGGGGGGAATGACAAGATTGTGCATAATGACAAATTGTGCCCTCATTTATGTTTTATCCACCTATTATTTTTTCCGCTTACTGCCATAAATTAAGTAAAAAAATCACTACAGTGTTCATCAACCACATTTTTATCATGCTATTGAGTCATTCCATGCCAAACGTCACAGTAATTTTAACAACCATCTCAAATGTATTTGGAGAAATTGTGCTCACTTAATTCATTGAAAGCAGAAAACTGCTAGAACATTTCGGAGGGGAAAACGATTTTTTGTTCATGTGGCTTGCTTCTAAACTTCCCGGAATGTCGTCTGTGTG